CGAAAGTCATCGCGACACCTCATCTTGGTATATAACATATTATCTCACACGTCAAAATTATATCTACATTTAATTAATTTGCGCGCTGTTGGAATGATCTTAAGTACACCAATATTTAACCTTTTGAGTTCTCTATTTTGCATTAATATTGAAAAAAAAAAAAAAAAAAAAAAAAAAACATACGTAAGAGAGACAATGATCTCTTTGATTTCAGGTGCTAGTACGGCGGAAGCCCAGCAACGAGTGGCGGTGGAGATCGCACAGCAATTTTTGGCTCTGTCCGGCAAATCGACAGAGTATACCGTCACCGGTATTGTAAACGCTCCGGTCTTATCGGCCGCCATGACTAACGAGAATGAACCCTGGATAGAATTGTCCAAGAAATTGGGTCAATTGGCCGGTCGTTTTCTCAAGGGCGAGCTGCACACTATTATTCACAGCCAGACTGTGGGAAGAAACATGCAGGACAAACAGTTCATACACACGGCCGTTTTAGTCGGCATATTAACCGGTCAGACGAAAAACGGCCTTAACTTGGTCAACGCGCCCACCTTGGCGCAAGAGATCGGCGTGGAGTTGCACGAGAGCCACGTCGACGACGAAAACAAAGCGGTCGTCGTGAAAGTCGGAGAGCACATGATCAAAGGTAATTTGTTATGGAACTATCAAAAAGTTAGGCACGAGTTTTTCTTTTATTTATGAAGTTGACACATATATAAGATTAATCGATATAATGGACAAAATTTTGATTCTTTTCTTGAGAATTTTAGATCATATTTTATATATTTTAATTCATTGTTTGAAAAAGCGAATTGAAAAAAAAAACTACAAGTCCAACGATATTTGCAGGGACCGTACGCGACAATGAATTGCTGCTGCTCGCTCTCGATGACGCCGTTTTCGTAAACGGCATTGCGCTAAGAGATCACATGTGCCTGTATCGTTCAAGCCGGGTGCAGGACATGGCTAATATCGTGAACGTTTTCTCGTCGAAGGGTATTAACATTAACAACTTGAGCGCGAATGGCAGCTGGTTGATCATTCAAACTAATCAAGAAGTCGCGATCGTAATAGACGAAATCGAGAGTTTTTAAGCGCGATCTTCTGAGAAAAATGCAACGATATTGAGCAGAAACAAAAGAAAGAAAAGTTCAGTATTGTCTAATTGATAGAAATACAAAGAGGTATGTTTAGAAAGATATGTTTATATTCACCGCTTTATAATCATGTCTTTCGAACAATACTATAATATATCGAAGAGATCCCTATTCGTGGTGTCAATATTTATTATGAAATCAAGAGACGAAGAAACACGCAAAGCATGCAAAAAGAGCACAATTTGTTAATATGTATTATATTGAATATTTTTTACCCTTAAAAAAGATATAAAATAGACAGCAAGATAATTGTCATTTTATTTGTACACATAACACGACGCATAACATGCGTTTATATAGATAAGTCGCATTTTTATACTCGCACTGTCTACGCGCATAATATAAAAATATTTAAAAAAAAAGAGGTATATAAAAAACTTATCTGCATAGAAATATTTATATTTTTGTATTATTAGAGGTTTTGTTAATAAAAAAAAATCACATCACATTATTAAATCACACCATTTCTGTCTTTATATTAATAACACTAGAAGGGTCCAAAGTGTCTGCATGTACAAAACGAACAGTCCACAGTGTAAGAAAGGTACAAGAACTATCCTAATTGTCAAAAAGAGACAGCGAAGATCTTAATTCGCAATTACTAATACTGCAATGAAAAGTATATTTATAAAAAATATATTTACAGAGACAGTTTTTTGTTTGCTTTGAAGAATAATATATATTCGTAATAACATTATTTTATCGATATTATATTCGTATTATTAGTGTTAATTAAGGCCCTTCCAATGCCGAAATACACAATAAGCCTACGATCGCGACGCGTGAATTGTTTACATTAGTCTTAATTATTCACGCAATCGCTTTTCCCGTTTGTTGTTTATCAATATGTAAACGTGCCTCAAAACAAACGCACTTTACATTCAAATTGTCGAGTTTCTTTGGTGCTTTGTTGTAATGTTTTTTTTTTGCAATCAGGTATTCATTGTACATATGTACATACGGCGACGACGCAATAAATCGATTTTTGCATAAAACTGACATATTTGTGCTACTGAGAAGAACTTAACACGAGAATAATATTAATATGTAACAGAGATATAAAATATATCACATTTGTTACGGTGTGTATAACTACATATATACTATGTTGCAATTTTTTAACGTAACACAAAAGTACGCGCAAAGCGGAAATAAAGCAACGTAGGAGAGCAACATAACTGCAAGCAGTTTTTTTTTTTTCAAATTAAATGTACATTACGAAGAGATACGCGTTTCTACATGTGCCCTATTGTTCAACAAAGAGGCGCAAAAACCTATAATTTAATTGACAATTAACAAATACAACATAATTGTTAATTGCAATTATAACGTAATTCATTCTGTATATTAAGTCGCTATATAAATATACAAAAAAAAACAAGATTTGTAAAGATAGACTTTATCTAAAATCAAAAAAATATATAATTGCAAAAATACTACTTATAATAACTTATAATAAGCACAATTTTTATATTCTTTCGTAACTATCCGCTCGACAGCAATTACAGGCAAAGATAACGCCGTCCTACGAAAGAGAAAGAAAGATAACTATTTTGTTTAAAAATAGTGTAATATGTATATTATAAATATTATATATATATATATATATATTAAAGATGTGTGTGGCGCATATCACTTACTCGGACTAGCGAAGGAAGCTCACACCAGAAATCGTGATTTGGCAACATTTCCCAACCTGTTGCCCCTCTTAAAAATTTCATTGCCATAATACCGCCAATAAAATATACGCCGGCAAAGGTGAAAAATAGAACAACCAAGACAGAACCCGTAGATAAACCCTTGTTTATCGGTTTTTTGGGTGGGTCTAATTTACATCCGTGTGGCGATGCCAGTGTAAAATACTACAGACATCAGACAGTACATATAGAAATATCTCGTAATCTTATCTCATGATGGTATCTCTTCATTTTATTATATTTTACACTCACATATTCTGTATTAGGCCTGAGATTAGGAGAATCTACCATAAGAAAAGTAACTCTTCTAGTACACATAATAGTTATTCTTGATGTTACATTTTCATGGTGTATTTCAAAAACGGGAATTTCATTTTCAATTAACTTCATTTGTGTTTCCTCTACTCTTCCGAGATTTATTGAATTACTATTATTATTATATGTGCATAGCTGCACAAATAAAATGTAATTGTTTTTTATAATCTAATTACTGATAGAACAAGTAATCACATTGAAGTAATAGCATATCAATAAACAAAAATAGACGGAATGCAAGTATTAAACAGTAAAGATAGTAAAATACCATCAATGTCTATGTTTTTTTCAGAATTATTATTATTACATAAATAAAATGTTAAAGTTTGATTACTTTTATGTCAAAAATTTTCTTTTTTAAACTTTACTCAAAACTTTGCTGAATCTTACCGACGTATTGGTGCAATTTGCAAGTGTGTCTAGTTTTATGTTTGTACATGGATGAAATTTTACTGTCCAGTCACCTTTCTTCTGACTTAATGGTCTGAAAATTTAAAGATTAATTATATTATATTATATGAATATAGTATATTCATTAGTGAATAAAAAACCAATTTCTATATATATATATATATATAGAAACTAAAAACACTGTGTCTAAATACAAATTATCCGAATAACAAACCACACAGAGAAAATGAAAAGAAAATAAATATATTATAGGTATATTTTATACTTTGCATGTAGGATTTGTCTAGTCTTATTTACTTACCCCATCAATATCATCCAAAACATAAATTATTTTTTTGTATTTTTCTATTTTACAAGTACGCAAAAACAATTATACAAATATTCAGATATATTTATGAATGACGTACAAAACAAAACGCGTTTGGAGCACGTAAGGTTAAGTGGCACAGTTTTATTACGTACTTATCGTAAGCTAGGCCGGTCAAATTGTAGTATTGGCCATTCGGCAGAGTGCAGAAACACGGTTGCGTGCATTCTGACGACGTCTTGTCGCAAAATAATATAAGAAAGAATCCAAGCGCGATAAACGTCACATCGCGACCATACATCTTCAGTTCTTGTTTTCGTACGCACTCAAATCAAATGTGTTATCAGGAATGTGTTCCGATATTCACTGCTGCTACTAAACTCTATAGTTGACGTCACATGTACTATAGATTTTAAATACTAACCGCGTTCAGCGCCATGCGTATGACCTGCACACATTGGGTGCGTTCAGACAACTCAACAACACACTCAACGGTTCAGAGATAATCACTTATGATTGGATCATACTTTTGGAACAGATTTTGAAGAATAGTCCTATCATAAGTGATGATGATTTCAACCGTTGAGTTTTCTGAATATAAAGCCTCTTGCACAATGGACGGAATAGCGATAGCGATAGAAATAACAAAAGTTTTAAAGAGTTTATATTTAAAAATAAAGGTAGGAACAGCGGAATCTAACATACAAAAATACACATGTATCAATGCAGATCAGAAANTAGGAACAGCGGAATCTAACATACAAAAATACACATGTATCAATGCAGATCAGAAAATCGGAATAAGTAATAGCGATAAAATTTCCGACGAGTTGAAATTCTGTGTTAAAAACTGTGTTATTTCTATCGCTATCGCTATTCCTTCCATTGTGCAAGGGGCTTAACCATTCTCCTCACACTTTTTATCTTCACAATAATTGCAGTGTAATGAAGACTATCAGCGCCTCTGTCGTCTAAGTGGCAGAAAGTGACACATTGTTGCATTAATGAGATATTCTTCTAGAATCGATTTTCTTCACCTCTGTAAAGCTTGTAAAATAAATATTTTAATAACTGACAGATATCTTTATATCCAAAGAACATAGCTATCGAACGGTATGAAGAAATCGGCATTGTATTCCGTTTTTTTCTTCATTTCGTACCATCATTGTCTCATCTTTCTGCAGCTTAGGTGACGAGGGCGCTGGTAATCTCATTACACAGCATGAAAACATCGATTAGAGAAGTTTACGATTATATAGTTAAAGGTTGAAACGAACGTCATTTCCGGTTTGCAATTCTCATATCTGCGCGTTCGGTGTGTGTTTCTTCCGTGTTAGCGCAGAATACGATTCTGTCGTTGCCGTCGTCGCCGCCGCCACCACCACCACCACCGCCGACGTCGCCGCAACCGCTACCGCTACCGCCGCCGCCGCCGCCGCTGTCGCATCGCGGAGGGATGCGATGACTGTCAACGCGGAAATCGGCAATTCCGTATCGCCATATTGTTCGCGTGTACATCGCTGGCGAGGTAGTGTCCGATAATTTAGCAGTGCAACGAGTGTCGAGCAAAGCACAAAAGGAACAGTGACAGGTAAATATACCGGGGTCGAGTACGACGACCGGACCGACATTGTAGTGCACGTACTACGCGGGATGGGAACGCGCTGAAGCTTGCCATGAATCGATCGCGTTTCTGTACGTTATGTATACATGCGAGCGCTCGCGGCGATTTTACGCGTACGTACGTGCGTAAGCCGCGGTGACGCGGCTAACTTCTCGCGAGACCGTTAAACTCCCGTTGCCCGTTGGAATTCGGAACATACGTTCCCGGTGACGTCACCGTCGGCATGATCGCAAAAGATCTAGTCTCGCAGCTGGATTCGCGTTTCCGAGGTTCTCTCTCACTCAATTCAACGGTGCGGTTCTACAAGATTATGTGCGAAATAACGCGAGTCGCGGTTGCTAAGTGTCACGGTCACGGATGACTTTTGATAACCGACCGACAGACCGGCGTGAGTTTTTCTTCCCGTATTTTCGCCTGCGAGCTGCATTCCTTGTACTTCGAGTTGTTCTTCGAGTAGTTTGTAAGCATTTGCAACCGAGTTATGTGTGTATCACACCTCTGTGTGTGTGTGTTGTGTGTGTGTGTGTGTGTGCGCGCTTACGTACGTATGTATGTGTTTCTCTCTCTTTGCCTTCGCTAATCGACTTTGTCGCATAAGCGCTTTGGAATAACGTGTTTCCATAACGATCGCCCGGAATATTTTTATTCGTAACTCGTGATTTTTGTACGCTGCGAGAAAATGCGCGAAACAAACACGTCGCGCGCGATATCGTTTTCACGCGAACGTGCCTCGCAATCGAACGAGTTAGGTTATCCACGTCCGTCGGTTCGATAAAAATATTTCGTGAATATCGATACTCATTCCCCCCCCTCTGCCTTCTTTCCCTCAAGCGAATGATGTCTGAAATGAAGGTGGAAATTGTTTCGTGACAAAAAAAAAAAGACGGACGCATTGTCGAAAGACCCGCCTACACGCGCGGAACTGCGATTCATTAAATCAATCAATGCGCTCTTGCGTGATTTCTCTCTCGAAATTCCTTTGTGAGAGAACATGCAAATGTGCCTCTGCTTTTTTCACTTATCGGTCTCTCGAATTTATTTGCGTGCGGAAGAAAGTTGAAACAATCGAGCGATTGTGAAAAAAAAGAAAAAAACAAAAAGGTAAAAACGTAAGATATTCGAGAAATGGCAATCAGTAGGTAAACATTTTTTTACATTCCTCGAGGCACAAAATTCACGGTCGGGATGATGTCGATTATCGATACTCTCGTCCAACGCAATGTTCAAGTTTTTTTCTATCGCAATTTGCGTAACAATTCGATCGGTTGTTGTTACGAAGCAATATGCAAATCACGCATAATTAATACAGGTAACTGCGTGCCAATCACGTACGCATTGTCGCTTACTTAGACGGATATGAACGAACGATGATTTATTAATGTTTTTAATTATATGTTTCAGTAATTTTATATATTACTATATTTTTTTCTTTTTTTCCGATTACAAGGAAAATTTAAAACGTTTATTTGCAAGATTGTTATATCGCAAAGTTATTTTTACGTATCGTGAATGTACGCGTTGACTTGTATATTATCTTATTTATAGTCTGAGCGCTTTGGGAAAGAGTTTTTTTAAAACGTTCGCGTAAAATATTGCATTTTTAATTTGAAAAGATACTTTAGTATCGCACGTGGATCTAATTTGGTAATTAGCAGTAGAAATATACAAACGAGACACGGCGCTCTGTGTTATATATTTTTCATTTTATGCCCTTCGACGGAAGATAGAATATCGATTAGCCCGCATAGCCTACTCGTGCTCTCGACGAAGCCTTAAGGTCGCCGGTATACACATCTATCCATCAATCCTCTCTATCTCTCTCTCTCTCTCTCTCTCTCTCTCTCTCTCTCTCTGTACGAATCGATCTTTAATGCGTAAGCTGCTCGCGCGTGATTATATTTTCTCCTCTAGTTTTTTTTTTCCCTCCTGTGAACGCGGGAAAACGCGACGAGCTTTGAATCAATTCTCCGTTCACTCACAGTAAGATGTTTCGTGATTCACGTTCTTACACCTGTGCGCGCGCTTTGGAACGATCTTCGTACGTCTAAAATACGTGCATATCGCGCGAGTACTTGAACTACTTTTTTTCTTTTTTAACCTTGCGGCGCAAACACCCGTGCAACACGTACGCGCGCAGTCGTCCGGAGATAAATTGCTGTCGAATTAATTAATAACGCACGAGTTGTGTGTGTTGTAATTCACGTGTTAGATATTACGTAAGTTAATTGAATTGTAAGTTGTGCTCGAGTCACGGAATCCGAATTCGTCCGTTTCTCGCTAAGTTTCAACGTTACAATAGGAAACGTCAATAGGCGTGATTGAAGATGTGCATTGAGAAATTTTTGTTTGTTTGCGTACATATAATAATGAATTATTTAAAGAACGTATTGGACATTTAATTTTTGCTAATCCATTTTGCAAACACAGTTTTTTTGTGCATATCTTTTTTTTTTCGAAACTTGAATGTCATCGCGATCGAGATAAAAGGATCGTAAAAAATCTTATCACAAATAGGTATTTGATACCTCATAGAGATTAGCGAAATGAACTCGCGCGCAACGTCGTTGTGAAAAATGCAGATAATTAAATTAGTTTGAAAAAAAAAAAACCCAGTTTAATAATTTGAACATTTTTTAAAATTCCACTATTGGTTAAAAATTATCGAGTGTTTGAGCGACGACACGCTATTGAAAACTGGTGTGTAACGCATGTTGTAATGAATTAATCTCGTGAAATTGGTTACGTCATTTTCATTCGATTGTCCCTTATACGGTTATGTAATGGCGTTATCGGCTTCGCCGCTGTTGTTGCGAACACGTGTACCGAGGAGGAAGAGAGTGCGGCCAGTAATTTATCGCGGAGTCACGAGCACGACACCGTGTGCGTTCGACAGTCTGTTCCCGATTTACGTAAACAAATCTTTCTCTTCTCTTGGCCATATCGAATTGTTGTAGATCCGTCACCGTTTTCGTTTTAGCGGGACTGTATGTATTCCAACTTTCTTTTCAGGTCTCTTTAAAAGCGCTCGACGCGAGCATCAACACAGACAACACATTATTTTTATGTTTACCGTAAAAAATTGTAGAGATTTTTTTTTCACGAAATTTGTACGCTTATAGCGTGTATTTTCATATATGTACGTACACACACACACACGATATCGAAAAATTAACAAGATACTCTCTTTGCTCACATTTGTATTTTTACGCGAGATTAATTACGTGTTGATTATCTCGATTCATACCGCTAATAAGAACGGTGTGTGGTCGCAAGTGTTTTTATTTTTACCGAGCATTGCAAAATGTATATCGTCGTGCCGCTTCAGCGAGAAGAGTGGAAGTATTATAGTGAACGTAACCGCGCAACGGCTTTTCAACGAAATCCGAAACGACACGGGTTTATATTGGATTCCCGGCTTGGTTTCTCTACTGCGCGTCGGATCCCGGTGAAAAGTGGGACGGTTGCCAAATCTTGAGAAAAATCATCGTCGGGCGTCAAAATCGCGCGCGCCATCGACACTCGGCTCAGAATTGCGTTTTCTGACGGAATTATCTGTTAGAAATAATTTGTGTAGAGAGAATGAGAGCGAGAGAGAGAGAGAGAGAGAGAGAGAGAGAGAGAGAGAAAAGAAACGCACACGTATAGGTGTTGCTGAACTGTCGCAAAGCGCTGATAACATCCTTGTGGGTTTATAAAGCCGAGAACAAATTTCTCGATTCGCGCGAGTTTGCCACATACATATGTCGTTATAACACGCGATCAGCCTCGGATGGACCAACGTGTAGCGTCTTTCCCGTTAATAATTCTCTCGGCTGTTTTCGCGGAAAAAGAGGGCAAGGTAAGGCGATACACTCAACGCGGGGCGAGGTCAAAGCTAAAGCTCGAATTAAGCCCGCGGTATTGCGCTGCAATTTATTACCGTAAGGTAACACACACAATGTGTTCGCTACTCGTTCGCAGACTTTTATGATTGTCAGATGCGTCGCGAAGGTCGTGTTATATCACGCGGGAAGCAATTATCGATAGTAACGATCGCTCGGACGATCGTTATCGAATTCTCACGTTCCCACGAGGGAATCTCTGTCTAATCTCGAGATCGCGCGGAGAACGAAATCCGTTCCGAAAGTTCCCCCCGTGAAAAAAATCACGAGACCAGTCTGTAACATCGTTTAATAAAATGTCGCTTCGTGCATTTATTTTTTTTTTTTAGAATCTCGCCTGAGAATAGTGCAGTAAAATGACTTTCAGGCCCCAGGTAGAAGAGCTCGACGAGACTTCGCCCGGCGGCGACCGGCAGAGACCGCAGGACGCAATGTCGTACCATCGCGGTGGCCAAGCGGGCGCTGTAGCATTATCGTACAGCACCAGTCCGATGGCGCCGCACTCGCCCAGCCGTAGATACTCTAGCGGCGCCGGTAGCAGCAACACCACCACATCCGGGATCAGCAGTACCACGTCCAAGTTGAACACATACCGCTCGACCGTAGCCTCGTCGCTGCTCGATCGGCCGACCAACTTCTACACGTCGTCCTCGGGGCTGCGTTCCAACTACATCACCTCCGAGTACAGGCGATCCTACTGCGGTTCGGGCAGGTCAGTGTTCGCCGAGAATACTCGACAGAGAACTGTGACAGGGAGAATTAGCGGCAATTATCGGTTGCGAGCGCAACAGACGTTTGACTACTTCTGTCGCGTGAGTTAACGACGTGGAGAAAGTGGAAACTCGGTTCAACGATGGAATTCCCAGTCGAGGAGCGTGCCCCGCACAATTACGCTAAACAATGCTTTTTGCTTCCTACCTCGATCCGCACGAAATCTAGCAATTGAAAGTCTCTCTTGAATGCACGAGAAACAAGTACAGGAAGCATCGCGAGTCGTTTTCCTCGACCGGTGAATCCACAACGGTTGAACTGGAGATTTTTATTAATTGCGGCACGCGGGAAAAGTGAAGTATAAAGATTTCCGATAGCTGAAAGGTTAACGTGTTGCTTGATATTAATTGCCGTTCTAAAATTAGTCAAATCAGAATCGTATCCTATAAGCGTGTGTATTTTCATACTCGATCGACTCCGCAGCTACTACTCGTCGACTTCTACCGGCACGAGCATCCGCAGGAAATATTCGTCGGAGTACAGTCGATCCAACTGCTCACCTGCAAGGTGAGCGATCTTCGAAGTAGGATGTAGACTTTAAAAAGACTAACGAGATTGCTAAACAAACTCGAGACATTCGAGAAACTGTCTGTAATTGAGAATTGAACTATCTGTGTAACAGGCGTATATGATACTAACCAGCATCAAACTATTTGTTTTTCTTAATTTGAGGAGATGTGTTGAGTTCGATTCTCTGAATTAAAAATCTCAGTTATATTCTTCTAACGATAGCACGATAGTGTTTTCTGACTCGCACTTATTTGTAGGAACGAGTATAAGACGCCGCTTACTGTTCGCGTCGTTGTAATTCAATTACGAAGGCGAGTTGATATGCATGCTCCCGTTCTTGCGTTTGACCTAGGCAACTGGCATTAGTAGCCCGACAGTAGTAAAGGTCGAGGTCAAGCATAAACCGGATTGTGCTGAGTCTGCTACCTGTTATTCCGGGTCGGAGCAGCTTCATCCATTTTTCAGTGTCATTAATCAGAGCGAATCCTGCTGTCCCTTTATGCGTCCTCCGTGTGGACGCCGCATGGAAAACCATGTGGCGCGCAAACGAAATACATCCGTTTGAAGCACCTTCGAGACACTCGCGCCTATTATCGCAATCGAGCGCGAGCACGCAGTCATATTTATCGATTTTAAATAAACACGCTCGCGCTACGGAATTTAATCGTCGAATGGACCTTGACCTTACGGGGAGACTTGGCTTTTTTTAAAAAGATGCACTCTCCGCCGCGCACACTTACGTTCTCTCTTCAGATTGACACAGTTCGGTTGCACGTTTCACCCTGAATTCGGTTGTGTCGCGGGTTCTCCGGAGAGAATTATATTTAAATATGTAGGCGTTTCCGAGAGGCCTGTCACGCCTTCGTGAAGGGTGTCGCGGAGTCTGATTTAGTAACCTCCAAACCTCGAGAAGTGGAGCAGTTCCGCTGCAATCGCTTTAGTGGCGGCGTAAACGTTCGTATCGCGAGTGTGCGCGCGAGCGAGCCCCGCCAGAGATACCGAGGAATACAACCGTCTCTATAACTCCGTGCGCATTGCATAACGAGATTGCGGTAGGGATAGCATCATCCCTTGGCGGCGGGCCCGGTTTGTTGAAACGCGCAATGGCCGCAATAATTTTACATTAAACGTTATTTTGCAGGTCAGTCTCATCGTCGACGTACAGCGAAACAGGCGGCAGCAGCAGCGGCGTTACGTCAGCAACAACAAACGCCGCCGACAGTACTAGCAGCAACGGCAGATACGTCTCGTCCACATCGAGCGCGTCCCCGTCGTCGCGAGAGCGTAACAACATCGACGCGGCCGCCGACATCATCAGCAGGTATTCTCCAGCCGGTTATGTGCCGAGTATTCAACGTCAACAGCAAGCGAGCGGCAGCGCGCATCACTGGAAGCATCGCTCGACATCGTCGTCTCTGAGTGAGCTGTATGGTGGTGACGAGCGCGAAGTCGAGCGAAGGGATCCCCGGCCGGAGTCTTCGCTATCTTCGTCGTCCTCTTCATCGTCTCCTGCGACGACTAATCTGTGGACAAGATCCGGCAAAAGGCGACCGCATACAGGCAGCACGGTGCTTACCACCATCGGACATGTACGCGCGGACAGCACCGCGTCTTTCGCCGAGGTAACGACCGCTATCGGCGATCCTCATCTCGTTGCTCATAAACTAAATTTTGACGACGAGAACGACGACGAAAACGACGATAGTAAGGACATTACCGACGACGACGATCAGCATAACAACAACGGCAACAACCTTGGCGACAACATCGGGCACGACGACATCGGCGAGGACATCGCGTGCGGATATGGCGTGAACAACAACGACGCGCGTGACAACAACGACGACGACGAGGACGAAAACGTGGACGAGAACGACGACGACAAAAACAACGACGATAATCTCAACAGTCGCCATCGGCGCTTCTATCAACAGCGTAGCCACCACCGACCGGACGAGGTTGTCTTACCCGCTATGCGTAACCTTCTTTCTCCCGCTGCCGCCACCGCCGGTGGTGGTGGTGGTGGTGGCAGTTTGATCGGTGTTAGTAGCATTGACTTGTTAACTAATCTCACGACTAATCCTCATAACACTGAACTGCTGATCAATAACAACGCTCAGGACAAGACGACAGCAGAGCAGCAGAGGGAGGAAGAGAAGGAAGCCAGGATCTCGACGAGCAACGAGGTAACACGCGGCGCCGCCGGCGACGAGCCGACATTTGGCGCGTTCGTGTTTTTACCATCCCATCGTCTAAACGACCGTGACATTCCCGAGGATGACGAGGATGAGAGAAAGTCGTGTCTGTCCAGTAGTTCGGATGACAGTAGTTTGGGATCACCACCGACTGACACAGTAGCTGGCAGACCGTCTATTACGCACGGAGACGACCCATCCGTCCCTTCGACGTCAAGGCGAGCCGATCAATCCGGTCTTTTCTCGGGTGCCGCGTGCAGCAGCACGACCGGCAATCTGACATCCTCGCCGACATCTACGGCGCATCAAAGTTTTTACGATGCTGTCAACGAGCAATACGTGAGTGTGTAAAGGAGAAATAATTCCTTCTCTCGTCACGGTACAGCATAAAAATTTCGTTTTCGATGTTTAATAAGTCTTTTAACAGTCATTGCTTTTGTGTACATGTATCTATTGTTTGTGATAGGTTTTATTAATAATTTGCGATTGCTTAATCACAATGCTGTGCCGTGACCTGTATTTTCGAAATGTTAAATCGATAATCACGCAACGGCGGGCTTTAACGACAATAGTGTCAAAGACGTGAGTATAAAACGTGTGATTTTTAGTATAGATAAAAATCTGTCGTAATCTAATCGGAAAGGATCCGTTATCGATCAGGCAAAACTTGTAGTGCCCTTGTAGAATCCTTTCTTTGCGTATCTATGATAAGTACGTTATTATACGTTATAATTTACAAATCCGTGGACTGTGAAAAATCTTCTGGTAATGTTTCTGTAATCGCATCTCCGATATATTTGTTGACGCATAAACTCTCTCAGCGATGTGTGTTTCGACACACATTAAAAAAGAACTGTGCTACGCCGCGTGCGATTCATTTCCTTCCTGTTGGTCCCGATTACGAAATCTCTTTGCCCTCTCGCCGTTTCCAACTAGAGTCTCTTCACAGTTGGGTCGCGGGCATCGCTGTGTTTTATTAATAGCCCAGAGCTCTCTTTCTCGAATTCTCTGGCGGATTAGAAGCGCACCGTCGTCGAGAGTCCGCGCCACAGTGTTTCGCGGCGATCTGTAATTACGCAGACTTTGAATTTGCGCGAAGATTATCATCGATTATCATTGTCAAGATTTGTATTTATTAATTGGAAAAAAAAAGAAAAAAAACGTAAGATGAAAACTTTGATGAACAGCTTTCGTAAATCGTTTCCTTTAAATGAAGTTGTTTCGCGAGTTTTTTATCGTTGTACACATTATTTAAAAGTTTCAAGTTCTTGTTGCAGCCCGATTGATATGCAGATTCGTGTTCGTAAAAGATCTCTAGTGTATTTTTAATTTATTGAAACTTTATAACGATAATAACACCGATATAAAAAAAAAAAAAAAAAATGCGGGATAAAAAATAGTTGCGATTTATCAACTCGTGAATGTTCGTGATCATTAAGATTATACATAGTTATGATGACGCGTTACTACGTGATGTAAGGTTGTGATGACAATGCGATTTCCGCACGGACGTGTCGCACTAACTGTGAATCTCTTCGAGACATTCCTGTTTCGAAGTTACACGCGTATAACCGTGTAAACTGGCTCACGTCCAATTGATAGAATGGGCTCTGTGGTGTCTATGGACAGTGATAACCCTCGTGGTCGCTTATGCCTTTTTTCTCGGTATCGCGACACCTTTGACATCACTCAAACGTGTCTCGCCGAAGATTAATTCAGCGCGCGTTAATAATTCAGTAATACTACAGTCTGTCGTTTCGCATACCGTTCAATCTCCAGTTGTAAACTCACAGGTGAGTCATCTGAAGGATTGCGAGAGTACAAGTGTTTTTTTGCTGAGTGTGTTAATTAACAATTACGATCAGTTGTATTTTATCGCTTCAAATCAAAGCGTTTATCAAATTAAGTTTACCCCTTTCAACCAAATTTTACTAAAATTAAATTGCGTTTTCATCACTGTGTGATTGTGTTGTGTGTAAGTTTGTTGTGTTTTGTTATCCCGCGAGACGCTTAAGCTTTCTCTATATTGAGCACAATTTCTGACACTTTCTTCGATCTGAGATAAATGTCAGACGTTTTACCGAAAAAGACGATTCAGGACGACGATATTCGCAACAATGTACAGACTGCGTGCGTTCCCGTTTATAATTAACGATAGTTGTACGACGATACGTTCGCGTTTAAAACGATGATTAATTGATTTTCAGGAAGGAAGTCCGACTAACAGATCGGGCCGTAACCGTCAGGTTTATCACGACGAACGATGTGGTTTAAACGGCTTGAGAAATATTGGAAACACAGTGAGTATACGATTCGAGAGCAAGAAAATGCGTGAAAAAGATAAGAAATATTCTTTATCAATTGTATTAACGCACGCGTGATGTGTTTTTTTAGTGTTTCATGAACAGTGTAATTCAGTGCTTGAGCAATACGAGACCTTTGCTGGAATATTTATTGAACGAACAATACCTAGCCGACATAAACACCAGCACATCCAGCATGAAGGGCGCTCTGATCAAAGCGTTCAGCCAAGTGATCCACGAATTGTGGGAGGTGGGCGGTGATCATGTGGTTAACACCACCGCGCTTAAATCACAGATACAAAGATTTGCACCGCGTTTTATGGGCTACAGTCAGCAGGACGCTCAAGAGTTTCTCAGATACTTGCTGGAGGGTTTACACGAGGATGTCAATAGAGTCACCACAAAGCTACCACCTATACATGGAGATATACCCGATAGTTACACGTAAGTCGGTCGTTTGATAAAATGCACACTTATCGCGCGTTTGATTTATATTTGTAAATTTTTGGTATTACTATTTCCCTCCGTGCAGGGATACGCAGAAAGCTGTGGAAAGCTGGAAGAGATATCTTCGTAGTGAGGACAGTATGGTAGTCGATGTTTTCGTTGGGCAATTACGTTCGTCTTTACATTGCACTTCTTGCGACCACGTGTCGGTCACACTCGATCCATTCTGGGATCTGAGTCTACCAATACCGGCCAGAAGTGGTACGGTGAAGCTGAGTCAGTGTTTGGAGCATTTCACTCGAGAAGAGGTAATGGATGGCGACGAAAAACCGACATGTTCCAAGTGTCAGATGAGAAGAAAATGTACTAAGAGCTTCAGCATACAAAAATTTCCGAAGATATTGGTTATTCGTATCCTTTTCAAACCTACGTATTTTAAATTACACGAACGAAAGAAAATGTGAAAAATTTTGATTTGCATTAGTGACTGCAGTGTTTGTTACAAAACACTGCACTGATTTCTGATCTCGATGATCTTGCAAAAAATTCAGTTCAGTTTTAAACCAAATTTAGTTTAAAATTAAACAGAATATCGGTAAAGATGTTATTTTTTTTTTTTTTTCCTTAACATTACTCTTTAGACTTGAAACGTTTTTCTCCGATGGAGCGCTTCCGTGGCAAGCTGAACGTGATGGTGGACTTTCCCTTGACGGGTTTGGATCTCAGTGCCTTTGCCGCCCCGAGAGTTCCGGGATGTACGTACAATCTGTACGGTGTCGCGAATCATTCGGGTACCACGTATTCCGGTCATTACACCGCATACTGCAAGCATCCGTACTCGGGGGAATGGCATGAGTATAACGACAGCCGAGTGTCCGTCGTGTCGCCACGATCGGTCGTTTCCAGTGAAGCCTATGTACTGTTTTACGAACAACAGCCTCACAGTTCTCACTTGTAACCTTACGCCATGCCTAGAGAGTAAACAACCATCTTGCCTCTTTCTCTCTTTCTCTGTTTCTCTCTCTTTCTCTCGATACCTCAACTTCAGCCTAGTAAACACTGTCTTCTGGACGTATTGAAAAGCGACTAAACACTGAAAGAAACAAAAGGGGGTCGCTTTTGATTTCCCCATTGTGGGCTATCATCTTTATTATGACCTTGTTGGTGATAATCGCGTCTCTTCCTGCAACATACTGTTTCTTGATATGAGATGTCGCGTAATGTTTCTTCGTAAGAAAAAAAATCATGTTCGTAATTCGAGATAATTGATGATTCGATGTATGTTGCAATTGACATACAATGCTTAACACGGAAAACAATCGTTTCCGGATATCATGTTTACATCTATGTATGAAATTATTTATTTCGTTTTACTGTACTGTGTTTTGACAGATTAAGTTTGCGATCACACACATACACACACACACACACATGTAAACACACATACACACATATATGTGTTTGAAAAATAGGACAATGTATTTATTTACTGCTTTACTCGCATGAAGAACCCCCTGCACTGTTACAATTTGGAAGAGAATAAAGAAGTACAATAATGTAAGAGTCGCCAAAGATCACAAACACAGTGCTTCAGATGTCTAGTTACTTTTGAATAGACAAGTAGTAACACATCTCTGTCACTCTTCATTGAAACACATGTGGCGACACATACATATATATATATATATACATATATATATATAGCTATTTACTTTTGTAAAATATTTTGTTTAATATAATCACAGAGAGTCAAGAGTTATTTATTATAATTTATGAAAAGAAGAGGAAATAATAAAATAATATATTCGATATTGACAAATATAATATATATATTATTATACGTATAATAATACACACGTGTCAATAAAAATCTTACATTACACGAAAAAGTGAAAGTATTACATAAAATCTATATTCTAAATATACACATCAGTTATAATTTAAAAACTTTTATATCCGTTGGAAATGAAAGTCGCAACCGGTAAAATTTAATTTTCCTTCCGACTGGTATTTCATTGTTCTTTTTATTGCAAAACATTCGTGCGAATTTGCCATCCCCTCCTTCCCTTAAAGCGGACCAGAATTCGCAGGTCGATCGATTCGCGAAATTACGTTCCCGTGGTATCCTACAGATGGCGACGGCATTGCGTCGGCTCGCAAATCGTCGCTTACTCCGGCTCACGGATCATGCACACTATGCACGTATGTACATATGATGCAAATAAATAGAGTTTCGTCTTCTTTCTCTCCTACCGTTTTCTCTACATTTTTTTTGCTATAATTCTTGGTTTTCACTCTCCAAAACGTTTTGATAAAAAATCAGAAAGATGGACGCGAGCAAGTTGTTGCAGCGAATTCGCGACGTTTTGCACGCACGCGTGTACATCAAAATGCATTAAATGCTACGCGATGCATCTGCGTTCACAAACAATCTTACTATATACGATTTACGAATAAATTTATTTCTCTCTTGCGAGGATAAATTAATTAGACCATGTAAATAATTACGTAGACGATGAGAAAGGATATACTCTTATTGAATACTATTAAAAACATTTGACTTTCTTCCCTCTTGTTGTGTGTGCATCGCGCGTCGGATACAATTAACACGCTCGAGTGTACACATATACGCGCTAATATCGACGGAACGGGTGCGGAGGGGGTGGTGACAGAGGGACGGCCGGCGAAAACCGAGTCGGCCGGAGTCGGTCGGAGTCGTGGAGTCGACGTGCCGCCGCCGCCGCCGCCGCCTCGTCCGGCCGCCGTCGCAAGCGCGATATTCGCGTAAGAACCGTCTCGCGAGGTCGTCTCGCCGGCTGCCACCAGAGGGGCGACCACCCGCGAAAAGTCTCGTGTGTGCGCGTCGCGCCGTCTTGACCGTTCGGGTTTTTTTTTTTTTGCGCGAGCGCTCTCGTTTACCGCTTCGGAAGTCCTCGTGACAACGCAGTTCCGCCGGATTTGCGAAAATTCGCCGGCCTTTGTGCGCGATACCGTCCATCCCGGACTTGCATCGTCGCGAGAGCGTTGGGCGCTCTCTGTCTTTCTTTCTCTCTCTCTCGACTCCTCTTCGCGTTCCGTCTGCTCCGTTTTAACCCGTTCCGTGCTCCGGAATCTCGTGCTTCTCTCTCTCTCTCTCTTTCTCTCTTCCTCTCTAACACACACTCTCTCTGTCTCTCTCATCTTTCTCTCTATATCTGTCTATCTGTCTGTCTTTCTCTCTTCCGTTGCCGGGCGTTCGCGATAGACCGGAAATCGCGCGTACATACGGTCTGCTGTCATCTTCTCGCCGGCTCGGCTGATTACGTGTGTCGTTTTGCTCGTCGTGGTGCGCGCGCGAATCGGCAGTGGTTTCGGTTAGTGGTTCGTCTGTTTCGCGATACGTTACTGGCCCCCGCGGTCCGCACACGAGAAGGAACGAGAGAAAGCCTCGGGTGTGCGTGAGGGCAGTGATCTCTCTCGGAGAGCGGCGACCTGACGGTACGAGCGAGAACCCGACGGTGTCCGATAGATATATAGGATATATACACACGTATATACATATATACAGATATATATATATATATATATATATATATAT